CCGAATATTTGTATTTCCATGAAAAGGTCTTTAAGTTATTTACATCACCTTGCTATTTATTGCTTGCGTCTTTCAAGTCTCCTTTTGCATAAGTATGTTTTTCAAACGTATTGTCAGATATAATAATCCTTACTGTGTTTAAATCATCGTTGGTTGTATAATTTTGTACATTTTTTTGTCTTCATCTTATATTTTTCGAAGTTGATTTGGATATATATGGTTTTACAATAAATTCTATTCTTATTTATTATTTTTCTGACGTAAATTCTTACAATCATATTGTATATCGTACATTTTATTTAAATGTTAATTAACAATGTTTTACATATTGTTTGTTGTTATAAATCATTTGTGGTAATGTTATTTATGTCTTCCACTTTATTAATAAACATCTCAATAAGGCGCATCTAGTTTACATTTTAATTAATGCTATCAATTAGCAGATTAAATTTAGACTTGTATCTAAGTGCTTAGTCTTTAAACAAGATGTTTATCATTAAGGAAGAATTAACATCTTCATACCCTTATTTCAAACTGGTGTTCACACAACATGTCTTCTTCTGTTTCAAACGTCATATCAAAAAGTCCATTTTCTTTATCATCGTTGTCACATCAACCACAAGATGTCCACAAATAAATATATTCTTTGCCTCAAGCAACTGCTTCTCTTCTTTGCCTTTCTTTATCTTTCATTACGTACCTTATTTTACCAATTTAAAACTTCTAACAGCCTGATTCATTTTTAACATTATCTCCTATATTTAGTTCACTTATAGTCTATTATGAGCCAATTTCGCACCGACCAACTTTGTGTGAAAACATAGTTATCAAACAGTTAAGGAACTTGTTATCAGATTAGTACTGATATGCTAAGATAACGACTGGAAATGTGTACCAGTGATGTCATTCTTTCGCTTTGATCAATTTTTGTATTGGAAGTTTCTCCATGTTCTTAGATTGCGTGTTTATGTTGAATTATTTTGAAACTAAAGCTGCTTTCTTTTTTGGTTTACGTGAATTGTTTATGATGATAGGTCTGTCATGAAATGTTCAGTATCTATGTGGAAGTTTAAGTTATTTGTGTAGTGGTTACTGTAGACTCATGTTTTGAGTTTTACTAAATAAGTACTGTCGTCTACTATTCTTATGCATGTTTTCTCCCAAGTCATAGTATTCACTTTAAATGTAGTTTTGTGCAGCGCTCACTGAGAATTCATTCTCATTTGATATAACAGTGCCTTGGTTAATCAAGCAAAGAATAACATGTGGATAATTTGAAAACTTTACTTAAAATTGGTAGACCCGTTCTAATAAATCATGTCATTCAAGTCACAACCAACCTTCTACACACTGGTACAGTTAGAAATAACACAGTATGTCCATATAATCAACGAGTTACAGTCTCCATCGATTATCACGTGTCCTGCACAAATCTAACCGGCATCGATTACCTCCATTGTTTCGTTCCGAGATAGTGCAAACGTGACTGTCGACATATCTATCTACTATCTATATGTTATGTATATTAGATTGATAATATAATGTACTATGTTCTACAGATTATTTTGTTTGCTTGTTAGCTTGGCTTAAAATGATTGGTGTTCTACGAAATGCTAGGAGTCACTTAATCGTTGATAAGTTTAGGTAAGTAGCGGTTAGTAGTTGGAATTTATTGGCCTTTGTGACAAAAAGTGCGTGATATGATACTTAAAATATGTTTTCATTGATGCCTTAACCTCTCATTCAGTTTAAATAAGTCAAATATTAATAATGTCCTTTATAATTCTCTATAACCATAGCATGACCAATACGTCAATCTAATTATAGATCGAGCAGTAATTTAAAATGGTGCAATGCAGTTGTGTTATTGACAGTTTTTTGCTCGATGGCCGTCAATCGATCGACAGTCTTACCTTCATTTAGTAATCAGTTATAATCAATACTGTTTAGTTACTGCTGTTAAGTTTCTTTAATGTTTTCTATTGTGATTGGATTAACATTCACTTCTGCATCACCTAAAAGTTAAACTTTAGTACTTCTTTGAAGATCCCCCAAAAGTCATTGCAATTTAGGCATACCAAAGTTTAATTACATTTATCATTTAAACTTCTTTACACGTCCCTAATTCGTGTACAAATATCATTAATCTATTGTTAGTCTCCATTGAATTCAAGACTATACCGAAGCTAATTAAAAACTCCGTCATTTGTAACTACCTTCTTTAATCTAGTTTTATTTTCATTGATATGACCTGATAACGCAATGTTTGCGTTAAACTCGCCAAATCTGAAAACAACTGGCGACTTATCTTTTTAAGTTCATTCATCTATCACGCTTAAACTCGTGAACAAATGAATTATTTTGATACCTATAGAAATACAACTAAAATGAGTGAAATGAGGTAAGTCAGGCAAGCTAGAGCTTGGCAGTTTCTGATTCAATTGCAAGATCGAGAACAGTTCTGTCAGTTCTTTGTTTTTCCAAGGTTGTAATGGGTTCGACGGAGTTCAAAATTCCTCTTGGTGAATAGTGACTTGTAAATGACATGGGACATGTAAACATAACTGGTCAAAATTAACGGTTATATACAAATCTAAGCACCTCTGTCAACTTTTCTCAGATTATAAGGCATATTATATAAATAAAAGAATATGTATTGACAACCCCGCGACCTCTACTCCGGGTCGCAGTGACCTTAACACCGATATCTATGCTATTTGTCCAGTAGACCAGTAAATATCTTCGTATTTGTATCTTAATCTTTATTTTACACTCAATAGTTACTTGAGTCTTTGTGTTAACCTGGATTGGAAACTAAATATTTGAGGATCATCATAGGTTTTTTGGAACCGCATCATGGTCATGTCGTCTTAGCCGCAAAAAATTTGTCTTTTTTTCTATAAAACCAGGAAACTTTGTGCAAGTAATTGTGTAACCGAGGTCTCAATAGCTATTTACACTTGCTTTAATATACATATAAACGCCTAGTGATACGGGTTTAGTGTTATCAAACTCTCATTTAACCAGTTTCATATGCAAAAAGTAGTCATTAGGTTCAACTTCCTTGAGTTTTGGATACGAATTGTCATAGTCTTTACTGAATTTTGCTTTTTTGTCTGTATCTGGTATTATTTTACATTTTTTAAACTGTCAAACACCGCGAGGACACCGGTGTCCGCACACCTATTGTTCTTTAAACTGTCAAACACCAAGCGGTCACCGGTGACCGCAACCTATTGTTCTATAATTGTGTCTATAATGACGGTACTCGACGAGTTAATTGTGTCT